ACGCCTGACAATTATGCCAATAAAGTTTTGACTTTATGATTGTATTTATGCCCGTGTGTGATGATAAATGAGCGTGTTTTGTTTTCATTTACAAATGAAACTACGTGAATAATTAATTCCTCAACGAAACACTATAGTATTTATAATTATGGTCTATTAATTAGCCGAAATAAAATGAAATATATGTTAAATTTAAACTGCATTCCAGCAAAAATTCCATTCAGCATAATCAAAGCTTTACTGGGATTTCGAGCATTTACAGTAGGCTATTATTTACAAAAGTATTCAGAAAGTTAAGTAAAGAGATCGAAATGAAGGGAAAACTGAATATAAACGAATATAAAAATATAACCAATAATAATAGACTAATAAAAATAATAATAATAATAATAATATACAAATATTACGGGAAAAGACGATCAGTTAATGGACTTACAAGACTGTAGGATTGATAAAATAGTTTTCTTGTAGGCCTATTTTATATTATGCACTTTATGTAACATTTATTCATGATAAACTTCATTTGAATGATGACTATCGCACGTAATACAGTCCGATAGCCAAGGCCTATGGTTAATATAATAATTTAATAATGCAATAATTTCTATAATAAATAATATAATAATTTCTTAATTCAAAATAAAATATGAATGAATTCATATCTGATAATCCCGGGTTGCTATGGTCACGCAGGTTTGTTTACGCATTATACTCGTGGCCACGAGAATATGACGTTCCCTCAAATTAATATCTCGTGGCCACGACATATTATCACATTCCCACAAGTTATGTCGTGGCCACGACAAAACTAAGTGAACCGAACATGTCACCTCCCGGGCACCGTACAAACCATTCCAGACATATTCATCTGAAATATATTGTATGTCACCATATAAGCATGTTTGTTTATAAAAAGCTGTTGGGGTGGGAGACAGACATTAGGTTTTGTGTTGTTGTGCCAAATATTATTATTATTATTATAAATTATATATTTTATAATATAATAATTATAATATATTATAAAAATCATGAATAGCCCACATATTCTATCTAAAAGATATCTTTAATGTATGTTGTCATAGTATGTTTACTTTTTCAACATATAAAATATTCATTGTGTTAATAATAATAATAATAATAATAATAATTACTATTGTTATTATTAAATGCATTATTTTTCTTTTTCTTTTTTTTTAAATGTGTATATTTGTCATCAAAATATTGGAATATTTGGCATTTATACTTTATATTGTGCCTACACTACATTAATTTCCCCTCACCTTATAAGAAACAGATCATCTTAGTCTGCATATGGAAGTGATCAAGTACTAAGTCATGACCATGTCTCCATGTAATTTTGATCTGATCATTGCAGGTATATAACAGAGTTTGTAAACCTAGGCAATGTCTCAGCTCTGCGCACGTTCAGAGTTCTGAGGGCATTGAAAACAATTTCTGTAATCCCAGGTAAGAGAGTGTGTGGGCGGGAGGGGTCGGGTCGGTGTTCTCTTGGTGTGTCGGTGTGTGTATCTTGGTTTTCTTTTCCTTCCTTTCCCCCCCGTAGTGGACAGGCTCTGTGAGTGGCGTACCTCCTGGTGGTTCATTGGCGTAGTGGTGTTCTTGGTGTGTTTGTGGTTGTCATTGGTGTCTGTGTGTGATCCTCCCTTATTTCAGATATGTAACAGAGTTTGTGGACCTGGGGAATGTATCTGCGCTGAGAACATTCAGAGTTCTCCGAGCATTGAAAACTATCTCTGTCATTCCAGGTGAGACGCAGTTTTGATGCTGAGGTTAACGTTCAGTATGATCCCCTATTACTATTCAATTTGAAATCTTTCTTTTTTTTTAAGCAGAAATTAATTTGGAGAGGACCATTTAATTTGCTTTTTTTCAATCTCCAAAATGATCAAAAATGGTACTTATACATTTTTGATAGGCTTTGCAGTCTACTATCAATCTCCAGAGTCCTTGGTTTCGACACCCTTTTGCCCCTTTAGACACTTCAGAGCAGATTAGAGCAAATTAGAAAGCTTTAGCGACCAAACCTCTTTAACCTCTTTCATGTAGGCAAAAACGTATCTATGAACAAACCCTGTTCTGGGTTGAACTCAAGCTACTGTATTATTTGTAGGTTTGTTGTTGAGATCTTGCTAAAGCAGATCTTTGTGTTACATAAGGCATGTTTTATTTCAGATTTTAACAGTAAGGACTTTAGATAAAAGCTAATTGTAGAATTCACTAGTGTGTGAGCTTGTATGTTTCTCAAAAATCTAACTATAAAGGTGTATGAACACATTAATTTTGCTGATTAATATATATTAGGAAACAAGCAGACCTTTTCAAACTAGCCCCCTGGCCTCAGAGCACTAGAGTAGATATCTTTAACAAGCTATGTTTTGTTCCCCAAAATGAAAATTGCATAGCTCTCAGTGAGTTCCCAAAGAATATACCTTTTACTTATTTATGAAGACTGCCAAGCCTAGTTTGTGGACATATTTTATGCTGCATGATGCTTTGGAAGTCACTTGCTTTTATAGTATTAGCCTACTAAGTGCTTGGCTGCCTTTTATTTTTTTGACAATTCATTTTTCTTCACTTTTTTTTTTCCTTTATTTTGTATGAAACTCACAAATTGCACCTGGAAATAAAATAAGAATAGTGCAGATGGTCAAGGAAAAATGTTTTTTTTTTATCTGTTTCAGATGAGTTAAATTGCTTCATTTTTATCTGTACATTTGTTTTTATTTTATTCAGAGGCTTTGCAAAAATTCCAGACCTTTAGCTTAATGTCTTGACACATTAGTGTCATATGCAAGTCATTTTCGGTGAAATAACAGGATTTATTTAGCTGACTAGGTTTTACTGCAAGTCATATTTGTCATCTTGTGTCATTTTCATTAAGGCTATGAACTAAAACCTACTCATCAAATCTCTGAGGCCTGCGAGATTTTTTGATGTTTTTGTGGGGTTTATGGGCACGAGGATTGTAGCATATCAATAGTAATTTGAGTGTCTGCTGTCCTGAAGGTAAAGCAGCTCTTTTGTATTTGGGAGGGAGTTATGGAGGGGTCAGTGCAGTTCTGATGATGTTTAGCTCAGCATGTCTGATGGAGCCATGCAAGATTTTTACACTGGACTTGTTTCTGTTCAGCCTTCGAGCTGAAATGACCTGCATGCAGTCTTCACCCCCCTAGTCCCTGCTTGCTTTATTCTCCCCATGTCATGGCCCTCTGGTTGTGCTGCAGTATTTATAGACAACTGGATGTCAGGCTGTTCTCACTGTTTCAGGGAGCCCTCCCTTTATTGTCAAGAGAATTCTTTGAAGGTTATCCTTTGAGAACATTCAACTTCTATTATGGAATGCTGGAATTCAAAAAGGTTTCAGGACAAATTTTTGCATTTCCTGAAATAATATATTAAATGTTGTAGGCGTTTATTAAACCATGTTTAAGCAGAAAAGTTAATTATTCATCTGAATAGAGCAAATGACGGGATGGCTCCCAAACAGTATGTGTGTAAAGACACTTAAAGTGTATTTTGTGGTTCTGTTATTTATACATTGTCATTGTGAATTAAAATAAGGATTCAAGGTATGATATTATGAAAAATAATAATTAACAATTAAAAACATTAATTTATGCTGAAGGGCACCCTTAAGCATCCATATCAGTGGTTCTCAACTGGTTTTGTTTCAGGAGCCAGATTTACATTTACAAACAGTTTCATACTCTTGGCAGCCAGTAATTTATCATACAAAACTCATTAGGCCAAAAACCATGTTTATGATGAAGGCCATGTCAAGCATCATGTTCATGATTCTACCAAGTAACAGATGATTTTTGAGTTTTATTGGATGCCTGACCTATGACATCAACAACAAATGGTATGGGAAATGTTTTCTCCCTCTTTTGAAAAGTAATACTTGCTTTCGATAGATAGATAGATAGATAGATAGATAGATAGATAGAAATGTATTGCATAACAATTGCGTTGTTCCCTGCAATCAGAAAATACCTGCACACCACCAGCTGAGAACCACAGATATACATAATATGTACACAAGACATATACATGAAACGTAGATGGCCTCACATCTAAAAATGTGAATTCCTCACATCATGCCTTGAGACTCCTTTTATACACTTCTGGGACTTGAACACACATGCAACTGTCTTTGCCTTTTTGTGTGTGTGTGTTTGTGTGTGCATATTTGTGCGTGTATGTGTGTGCATATTCGATATCTCAAAGGTCTGAAGACCATTGTTGGCGCTTTGATCCAGTCGGTGAAGAAGCTGTCAGATGTGATGATCCTCACCGTTTTCTGCCTCAGTGTCTTTGCCCTCATTGGTCTGCAGCTCTTCATGGGAAATCTGCGACAAAAGTGTGTCATCTGGCCCATCAACATTACAGAACTATTCCAGGCCAATGGCACCCATGCATTCAACTGGGATGAGTACATCATGAATGATAGTGAGCTTTTGTTTAATTTATCACACAAATTACAAAAACAGTTAAGACAATATATTCGTTTCTGTTTATCGTGCATTGCTTTAACTGCCATGTAACACTCATTTAAAGTTAATCTTTAATAAAAACAAAGAATTAACTACATCTATAATAACTATAATATAATGACTACTTATATTTACTTTACTTTTACTAAAATGACAACATTACTACAACTGTAACTAAAACTAAAATAGATAGCTAATACAAATTAAAACACTGAGAATAACACTGAGCCAAAAATAACACTGAGCCAAACACGCATGCTAAAATAACAACAACTCGCAGCCGCGACCGCTTCCGCGGTAAACTAAGCTTCTTTTTATTCCTTTAACAAAACTCAAATTGAATTCAGCTGGACACATTTTCCTGTTTATCAAAACAAATGGCCAAGCAAAGCGCACGACACTGACAAGGTACGCGAATATTTAGATTTTATTTCAATAAAATCAAATATTATATGGGCTTTCCTGGCTCTATTCCGCCTCATGACGCAGGACTTTTGGGAGAACTTGTACCAGCTGGTGAGGGCGAGGTCTTTTTTTTCCCCTCTTTCATCACTTTCAGTCCCATTTTTAGATTTTTTTTCTCCGTAATCTGAATTTTGCTACTGAGCAAATGAATCTTTTTGAAATCAAATAAGATATGTGTATGTAAATAAAATTAAAATGGCTAAATTATACTGGTCTAACTTTGCACAATTAAATAGTCACATTTAATGATTTGGATTTAGCATGCAGATTAAACAAACTCAGTGCTTGAGGTACCCTCATGCCTTTTATACTTAATACTGCATTTGTAAAGAACAGAAAATATGTAATTAGCAACTGTGATGATGATGTTATTTTGTCGCAGTTGGTTGTATTTTCATTAGTTCAATATGCTTTAAGTGTAAATTTCTCACACATGAAAAAGTGTTTAGGATCAGCCACGATATTTATGCCGCTGCAGACAGCCCTTGTTGTGCAGGATGCACACAAACTCACTGGACCCTTTGGGATCAGGAGCAGTAATGGACAGCTAGAAGACTAGAAGACTAAATAGTAAAATGCTAAATATAGCTTGAGCTCTAGTTGATTCTGTACTCTTACATGTAGATGCAAGCATAGCCATCTAGACACCCTGTCTTTTATCTGAGCACTAGATATCCTATTGTTACTGATAAACAGATACAATTTTCATGTTTATTTTAATCTGTTGTCAAGAAACATAAAAACTAATTCCATTATTAAATAAGAATTATTATATGACTTGAAATTTGTATTGATTAAATTTAATAAAAATGTTATAGTTTTAATACAGTCGAATGAACTGAATGTTATAGACCCTGTATTCAACAATCGAATGCATTTGTTCCTAGAAGACAGGTAATTGCAGTTCTTTTGAAGCTTATAAGGAATATCACTCCTCATAAGTTAGGCTTCGTATTTTCTCATTATTTTGTCAGGCAAACCAACTGTACTATTAAAAACCATGAAATTACTGGTTATCTTTCTGTTCTTCTCTTTTTAATTTTCTCACACCAAACAGTCTGTCTCACTGTTTTCACACCAGCATCTCAGGATGCCAGTGGCTGCCTTGAGCCAGTCTATTTAAAAGAACACATGCATGAATGTATGCTTAAATGTATGTTTGTATATTTGCATTCTTTGCACAAGTAGGTCAAATAGAAGCGACGAGGCTCAGAATAATGAACTGACATTTGCATTTTTCCAGCGAGTACATCTCTGCCACTTGTATATTAGTGAAATAGTATGGACAAAATCCCTGAATATTATTATGAGCGTTGAGAAATTCTTCTCTCTGTGTGTGTGTTAAAAAAACAAACCATTTTCTATTCTGATGTATGAAGCTCTGTAATATAGTATGATCTGCCCCTCATCCACAGACCCTGAGAGCAGCGGGGAAGACCTACATGATTTTCTTTGTGCTGGTGATCTTTGTTGGCTCATTCTACCTTGTGAATCTGATCCTGGCTGTGGTGGCCATGGCATATGAAGAACAGAACCAGGCCACTATGGAAGAGGCGGAGCGAAAGGAGGTGGAGTTTAAAGCCATGCTGGAACAGCTGAAGAAACATCAGGAGGAAGTACAGGTCAGGCAATGATTTAATGCTTATAATAAGGGTCCTCTTTGTAATACTTAAATGTGTTTTAGTGCAGTGTTTGCCTGCTGGTTTCTAATTGTTTTTTTTATATTTTAAATTAGATTTTGTGACTACAATCAAAACGAATTAAAATCAGAGTAATTTAGATGAATGATTGATACATTTTGTGACTGCAGGCTAACGCAATGGCGACATCGGCGGGGACGGTGTCTGAGGACGTGGTGGAGGATGATGGTGATGGAGGTGGGAACTTGTCCTGCAGCTCATCTGAGATGTCTAAACTCAGCTCCAAAAGTGCCAAAGAGCGACGCAACCGCAAGAAGAAGTGGCGGCAGAAAGAGCAGGACAAGGAGAAAGGGGACAGTGAGAAGTTTGTCAAATCCGAATCGGATGATGGAAGCAGGAGGAGCAGATTCCGTTTCCCTGATAACCGTTTAGGACGTAGGAGTTCTATAATGAACCAGGTAAAGAATGACTTCTGTTTTTGTTGTTTTGTTCTGTTAAAGGGGTCATCGGATGCAAAATTCACTTTTAATTGTTGTTTGAACTGAAATGTGTCTTGGCAGTGTGTGTATATAACCACCCTATAATGATATAAATCCACCCAGTGTTTTTTTTGTTAAATCTCAATAAATCATAAGCAGTGTCTCAGATCAAGCTGTTCTTAGATTCTTGGCAGAGTGATGTAGTTCTGCACAGGCCCCTCCCATGATTGTTGATTGACACTGGCTTTTTACCTTAGACCCGCCCTGAGTGAGCTGTCAACAGTCTGCCATTGTTTCGACGCCGGAGCAGGTGTAGACAAGAATGTCTCCTAAGCGATTGAGGTGTTTTGTTGTTGGATGTAATAATGAACATAGCAGTCGTCATTTACTCCCTAAATATGATATGTCTATCTGCCTCTGAAGAAGCAAGGATTACTTGTTTTTGTTTTTGGAGAGAATGCACCCCCCCAATCTGCCTAAATGCGTCTATGTTCGCGCAAATCATTCATGATCCAGCCTCATCTACAGAAGAAGTGAGTATAATGTTTTGTAATGAATCTTTGCAAATCTCCTTTCCTAATAATGTGCTAATTAGTAAGTTTCACGATGAATGCAGCTAAAGTAAACAGTCTCTCTGAGAGCAGCTCGGAAGAGAGGGGCGGGGTCAGCAGAGCTCATTAACATTTAAAGGGAAATGGAAATGGTTCAAGCTACAAAAACGGCTTGATCTGAAAAGAGCTGTTTTTGACAGGGTAAAAAAAGGTGTTTTTACACTACCATTGAGAAATTTTAACCAAACTATGTTACAGACTTTTCATTAAGACCCTAAAGAATCATATCAACTTGTGGAAAATGGTCATCATATGACCCCTTTAACAGTCTAGAGAATGACTTGTCACCAAACGGAAGAAAGGGGCGGAGTGAGCAGAGCTCATTAGCATTTAAAGGGACATGCACCGAAACGGGTCTCTGTGAACATAGCTGTTTTTGACAAGGTAAAAAGGGTGTTGTTTTATACTACCATAGAGAAATTTTAACCAAAGTAACTTAGTGCTGTGGATCACCAGATCGGCTTTCACTGTGGACGAAGCAGATTCCAGCCCGGGGTCGTCACATGTGGTTACCACAAACCCGGCGGCCGCTCCTTCGTCGAATCCGCCGGCCGCGCCGTTTTCAAGCCCACCCGCCTCTGCTCACTCCAGCCGGCCTTCGCATACTCTAGGCCGCGGCTTACTCAAGGCCGCGGTGTGTGACGCTTTTTCGTTGTGAAAGCGAAACTACTTTGTTTGGCATTCCAAAAGAGGACACAACTAGAAATCAGTGGTTAAGTTGTATTTACAACACTGTTCCAGAACAGTTCAACCCA